CATCTGTCTTCATACTGGAGGATACTATAAATCTGTCAAAGATAACAGATCAGCAAGGTGCTAATGGGAGGAAAGATCTTGCAATGATCCCTATCATGAGGGACAAAATATTTAACAAACTAATGGGACTAAAGGCAGGTACATTATCAGGATCTGATGGCCTTCATCCAAGTGTTTTAAAGGAAGTGACTGCAGAGATAGTGGAGGTATTGGTCAAAATATTCCCGAATTTACTGGATTCCAGGAAGGCTGAAGTGGTTGGAAAACGGCTAATGTAACCATCCTGTTCAAGGAGGAAAGGAAACAGAAAGCGGGAAATTAAGGCCAGTCAGCCTAACATCTGCCACTGGGAAAATACTGGAGTCCATTGTTAAAGCAGAAATAGCAGGACATTCAGAAAAGCTTAACAGAATCAAATAGGATCCATATGGTTTTGTGTAAGGGAAATCAAGTTAGACAAATTTACTGGAGTTTTTGAGCAGAGTTGATAAAACGGATTCAGAGACACCGTGTTTTTGAATTTTCAAAAGGCATTCAATAGAGTTCCACAGAAATATAATTGCCCAAGATAGAAGCTCCTGCTATTGGGAGTAATGTATTCGCATGGATTGAGAATTGATAACACACTGAGAGCCAAGATTAAATAAATCAAGGTCTTTTCCAGATAAAAACCGAAAGAACTGCGGATGCTGTAAATCGGGAACAAAAACAGAAGTTGCTGGAAAAGCTGAGCAGTTCTGGCAGCATCCATGAATAAAAGAACTGAGTTAATGTTTCGGGTCTGGTGGCCCTTCCTCAGTACCCAGCTCAGTTCTGAGGAAGGGTTACCGGACCCGAAACATTGACTCTGATTTTTTCTTCACAGATGCTGCCAGACCTGCTGAGCTTTTCCAGCAACTTCTGCTTTTGTTCAAGGTCTTTTCCAGGTTGGAAAGATGTAACTAATGAACTGCTGCAACTGCCTTAATTATTTACTATCTATATTAATGACTTGCACAAAGGGGCAGAGTGTAATGTGTCAAAATTTGTTGATGATAAAAAAATAGGTGGCTGATATGTTTCTCAACCCCATCGTGATGAGGACATAAGGAGTGTTATGGGAGGCTAGTATTTAGAGAAGAAATACATTTTTGAAATATCAGGATTGGGAGCTATGAGGAGCTGTCACAAAAGAGGAATTGAGGCCAGGAGCAGATTAGTCATGACCTTGTTAATAATGGAGCAGTCTTGAGGGGTTGAATGGCCTACACTGCTCCTATTTCTTATGTTGGAAGAGAGGAAAGAGAGAAATGAAAAAGATGAGTTCAAGATGGAAACAGAAACAAGAGCAATGAGAAATCTTGAATTAGAATTAAAAAGTGGAGAAGTTAGACAGTGAAGAAGTGAAGAAAGAGGCAGAGAATTACAGGCAGTCAAGTTTAAAGCTTGTGCATTGATTGGGTATAATGAAGGTAGCCCTGAACTAACACCTTGTACTTCTGATTTAGGAAAGAATATTTTCTTGATACGTGAATATAGTGAGGAAGATGCAGGAATGTAATGTATGGCTTTTCAGACAGTTGCTATAAAAACTGAAATGATCTATTGAAGATTGTATTGTTCTACAGAAAGTAGGAAAAGCTTTGGAGGTGCACTTTCAGAAGACCAGTCAGATGACTATAAGGTATAGGAGCAGAATTAGACCATTCGGCCCATCAAGTCTGCTCCACCATTTGATCAAGGCTGATATGTTTCTCAACCTCATTGTCCTGCTTTCTTCCTGCAATCCTTGATCCCCTTACCAATCAAGAACCTATCTATTTCTGTCTTAAGTATATTGTAACGGAGGATAGAATGTATTGTCAATGTCTATGAGTTAACACAAGGGGTGTACAGACAGAAATATTGAAAAGAAAACCAAGTCCAACATTTATGAAATTTGGTCGAAAGAAGCAAATGGTGTTTGTACATGAATGAGGCTTTAAGAATTTTCAGAAGTGATCCCAGTGACAGAATTTTAAAAAGCAGGGTGTCCATAAGGTCCCACCTGGATGAGTGTAAAATCAACACTGCAGAAATGACAGATGGTTACCATCTGATACCGAACCATAATGGGGGGTGTAGTTGGGAAACTTAGAAATTGCAGCGATGGGGCTTTGATAATGAAATGGCAAAGATGAAGACACAGGTGCTCCTCAGGTTAGTAACTGGGAAAGTCAGAAAGGTTAAGTTAGATTCAGATGTCTGAGTTATGTTGATTTTTGATTATTCCATTTGGTTTATACAATAACAGTATTGAAATTAAACAGTGTTGAAATTGAAATGAGTTTTGTTACTATTGGCCTCACGGGGATTCTTTTTTTAAAAAATGTTATTGGTCTCTATGGGAATCGTAACAATTATTCCAACTTCGTTAATGCAATTCTTTCTTGAATATTGGCAAAACTTAGATTGAGATAAATGAGGCTTTGCTGGGAGTTTGGGACAGTCATTTATCAGTCATTGCTGACAACCAACTGGTTTCACATGGTGGCATGGTGCCTCACAGTGCCAGGGACCTGGGTTTGATTCCAGCCTTGCTTACTGTCTGTGTGGAGTTTGCACATTCTCCCTGCTCCCACAGTCCAAGGATTAGGTAGATTGGCCATGCTAAATTGCTGATAGTGCCCAGGGATACGTAGGCTAGGTGGATTAACCAGGGGAAATACAGGGTTACAGGACAAGATAGTGGGGTGGGATGCTCTTTGGAGAGTTGGTGTGGACTGAATGGCCTGATTCCCAAATGTGGAGATTCTGTGATTTGGCTTTAACATGAAATTGCTAATGTTCAATCTGTAGCTCCATGTACCCCTTGCCTGGTTTTAATTTCCTTTCATATCAATGTAGAGATTGATACATCAATTTTGATTGATGCAGGCAATGGGGGCAGATTTAACTTTCCAAGCAGGCAGTAAATGAGGGTTAACATTTCAAAACCTAAAACCTGACCTCATTCTGCCTCAAACACAGTTTTAGCTGGTTTTAAAGAAAATGAGTCAGGGTGTTGGAGGCATAACTTACAAAAGACAAATCAGTTCTTAAATTATGTCAATGAGTCTATGTGGGAACAAATCCGAATAATGTTTGTATTTAACAGTAACGAGAGAGCCTTTCCTGGGCTTAAGAAATCCAGTAGCTGAAGAGAGGTGATGTGGATTCAGGCCATCTGCTTTGTTCCTTTCCAGCACTGCTTGTGGGTCAGGAGGAGCAGGAACATTATCCCCGGGTTTTCAAAAGCTAACCCATTTCTTTCCCCATCATTTGATTTTCCTGCCTGACCTAAATTTTTCCCAAAAGCCCCGATCTCACCAGCCACGTTCTCCCCAGTCCAACCCCGCAATACCTCGCGATCGCTCCACACCTGCTTGTGGCCTTCGATTACAGGCCTTCCCATTGGACAGCTAGCCTGCTGCTGGTTGGAAAGTAATTTCAAAGTCCTGCCATCGATGTTGAGAGACCTTCTATGTTATCCGCATTTCTGTCTTCCCCAGCTGCTACACGGCCTCACTCCCTCTGTGTATATAGTGGGGCCAGTAAGCTACTATTAGCTTGGTATAACGTTAAGCAGATCTTAAGCCTGACACAATGAGAGGAACAGCCCAGTAATTTAGTTATGGTTACCTATATATGAAAAGAATTACAGTCTGTAATCCAGTGGAGTATTGCTGCACATTTTGTCTGGTGCTGTAGACAGTGAACTGCCCAACTCATTGAGCTCAGATACAAGAAGGGACAGACTTTTAAACTTAGTTCATTGTAGCAATAAGCAGGATGCCCTGATAAATCACTGAATTGCCATGGTATGCACGCACGCCTTGGGAATGTTTGGTAGATTTGCAGGTTGGAGTATGGTGATGATCTTGTGCCTATTAAGGAGCAAGTGAGCTTTGTGCCATGATATGCTGGTACACTTCAGATCGCATTTCATAATGACATTTCCTTATGGTTTTTAAGAGAAAGTAGTCCTCTTTAAAAAAAAATTAGACTGGGCAATCTGATTTTGTTTAGAGAGAAAGCGATCATGTTAATTTTGATATGTAAAGTGTATGGACAATGGAAATACTAAGCAGGAGAGTTGTAAAATGGGGTGCTCATTCACCATGGCCATTTTATTTCTAACACAGTTATAATGCAGTGTTAACATATAACTTCTTTCTAGAAGCTTTATCAGATAGCAGTAGACACAGCTCTTCATTTTGGGACAAAAGGACATAATAGGGGCAATAGCTTGTTCAGAGAAGTGGGTTGTAAGAAGCATTTTAATATGCAAGAGACATCGAGAGCCAAGGGGATTCAGGGCGGAAATTCCAGAGCTTACACCCGAGGGAGCTGGAACTGCTATCAGAGGCTGAGACTAAAATTTCGAGCCCGGGTGCTGCTCCTGATCTTGTCGAGACCAGCGCCCCCCCCCAACCCAAGCATGGTGGGCTCCATGGAGCTTCAGGCGCTAGTTAATGGGACCAGAGTTAGCCCGAACTTCGTCCCCTTTGCTGCTTTTAGCAGGCAATAGTAATGAGGGAATGAGGAAAAAGACAAAATTGGAGGAGCACAGAGAGGGTGGTGGAGCAGGAGGAGGTCTGTAGTAATGTGAGGAGTGCAGGAGAATGACAGTATCTAAATCGATGTGCTCTGGACTGGGTGTTAATGTAGGCTATTGAGCGTGGGCTGGTCAGTGAATAGGACTTTGTGTGAGTTAGGATAGCAGGAGTCCAGATTCAGGTTATAGCAGGTGGAGAACAGTGACTGAGCTGGCTGTCAGTGTGTTGGGACAGTCAAAGCTAGAGGTAAGAAAGGCCTGGGTGGTTTTAGCAGCAGATGGGTTAATGCAGGGTGGAGGTAGGAGAAAACTTACAAAGGTTGGGGTGCTGGGATCTTGCTGACACTGTGAGCACAGCATCATTTACTGGGCTAAGTACTAGTCTAATCACTAACTAAAAGAATATAGCATGGTTTTATACTAATGGTTACTTTTTGTCCTTCAGGCTCTACACAGTTACAATGAGGGAGATATCGATGGAGCCAAAAAGCTAGCACACATGGCAACCCTGGTTGCCATTGCAGCCATTATTGTTGGATTATTAATTATCGCAATCTCTTGCATCGTTCACTTCTCCGTGGTAGGCTCTGTTTGCTTTCTACCTTTTAACCTAAAAGCACTGCTGATGTTTGGACGTTGATGAGTTGAAGCGAAACAATTTGCTGTTTCATCTGCTTTGGTTCGCAGCAATGAGTGGCATTTTCTGCAAAGGTTTACCAAAGATTTCTCTGGTTTCACGGGGAATAATAAAATCCGTATAAAGAATGAGGCTCTGACTTCAACAGTCAAACCCTACGCTACTGGACTGGTAAATTAGAAGTTTATTTGCTGGCTGGGGAGGTACGAAATGGAGTCACAGAGAGTGGGAATGGTTATAGGGTTCAGCCCTTGGCCCATGCTGAGTTTGTTGACTTCAGTTCAGTCAAGATACTACAGTTAGCTTCAGTGCTCCTGGGCTGGAGAAAGGATTACTATCCAATCACTCTTACAGCAAGTGACATGTCTATGAGACATAGAAAATAGGAGTAGGAGTAGACCATATGGCCCTTCAAGTCTATCTCACCATTCAATATAATGGCGCCTGATCATCCAACTCAGTCCCCTGTTCCCGCTCTCTCACCAGACCCTTTGATTCCTTAAGCCCTAAACACTATATCTATCTCCTCCATGACAACATTCAATATTTTTGTCACAGCCGTGTTCTGTGGCAGAGAATTCCACAGGCTCACCACTCTCTGGTGAAGAAATTTCTCCTCATCTCAGTCCTAAATGGCTCACCCAATATCTTGATCAGTTGGGGAATCAAGGGTTACTGGGGAAAAGGCAGGAGAGTGGATGTGAGGAATTGTTGGAGCAGAGATGATCCTGTTGAATGGTATAGCAGGCCTGAAGGGCCAAATAGCCTACTGATATTCCTATTACTTATGGTCTTTTATTCTTAGACAGCAAGTGCCAAAAACTCAGTTCGACTGGGACACTTGGTTCTGGATTCCCTGGTCATCAGGAATGTCACATCAATGTTTACCTTGTCCAGTTCTGTTAGAATTTTGAAAGGTTTCTATGAGAACCCACCTCATTCTCCTGAACCGCAGTGAAAAAATCCTAACCAATTCAGTCTGTCTTCATGCATCAGTCCTGCCATCCCAGGAATCAGTCTGGTAAATATTTGCTGCACTCCATCCCTAACCAGATGGGTATACCTGCCTTAGATAAGGAGACAAAAACTGCACACAATACTTTAGGTGTGGTCTACAGGGCCCTGTACAATTGCAGCAAGACATCCCTGACCCTCTACTCGAATCCTCTCACTATGAAGGCCAACATACCATTTGCCTTCTTCACTGCCTGTTGTTCCTGCATTGCTTACTTTCGGTGACTGGTGCACAAGGACACCCAGGTCTCATTGCACCTTTCCCTGTCCCAATCTATCGCCATTCAGATAATAATCTGTCTTCCTGTTTTGCTACCAAAGTGGATAACCAGAAATTTATCCACGTCATACTTCATCTGCCATGCATCTGCTCAGTCAACTTGTCTAAATCCCACTGAAAGTTAAGCAAGTACAGCTTCAAGCCTGGCAATGAAGCCTGTCACAGTCGAATTGAGTTTTTGACACTTGCTGTCTAAGAACTAAAGACCATAAGAAATAGGAACGGGAATCGGCTATTTAACCCTTCAGGCATGCTATACCATTCAATAGGATCATTTCTGCTCCAACATTCCTCACAACCACTTTCCTGCCTTTTCCCCAATAACCCTTGATTCCCTGACTGATCTATCGATCTCAGCCTTAAATATGCTCAAGGACTATGTCCCCCACAGCTCTCTGTGGAAAGGAGTTCCAAAGACTCTCAACCCTCTGAGAGAAGAAATCCCTCTTTATCTAAGTCTAAAATTGGCAAACCTTTACCCTGAAACTGCACCCTCTGGTTCTAGCCTGTCCCATGAAGGGAAACATTCTCTCAGCATTTACCTTGTCAAACCTTTTAAGAATCGATATGTTTCAATGAGACCACCTCTCGTTCTTCTAATCTCCAGTGAGTAGAGTCCCAACCCGTTTAGCCTTTGCTCAGAAGATAACCCTTCCATACCAGGGACCATCTTAGTGAGCCTTCTCTGACCTGCCTCCAATGAAATGATATCTTTTCTTAAATAAGGTGACACAAACTGCTCACAGTACTCCAGATGTGATCTCACCAGGACCTTGTATAGCTGCAGTAAGACCTCCCTGCTCTTATACTCCAACCCCCTTGAAATAAGGGCCAGCATTCCATTAGCCTTCCTGATTTCCTGCTGTACCTGGACGTTAGCTTCCTGTGATATGGGTACAACTGTCCAAGTCCCGCTGTGTTGCAGCATTCTGCAGTGTTCTGCACTTAAATAATACACTGTTCTTTCATTGTACCTTCCAAAATGAACACTTCCACATTTTCACATGAATAGTAGTTACTGGTCCAAAGTGTTGAGGCTAGCCTGCAATCATGGGATAATGTTGAGAAGCTGCACCTTCAGGAGAGGAAGATAGAGCTGGAATCTCTGTAATCCTTGCCAGAGCCGAAGAGGAAGGCTGACCTTATTTCACTTAGTAAGTCCAACTCAGTATGTTCACTCCTGCGAGCCTCCTCTGCACATTTTTCATGAGTTCACAGTCAACGAAAGGGCTCAGTGAATGTGCAGCCCAAACCCCATTTTCTCAGGGATTCCCTTGTGTTTCTGGTGAAGTTACAACTGGAATCAAGCAAGCTGCCAACTCTGGTGGCATGTTTCCCTGGAGATTTCACCACATCATCAGTCACCAATCGCTCTCTGGTGGCTCAGTAGTTAGCGCTGCTACCTCACAGCTCCAGGGACCTGGGTTCAATTCCACCCTCGGGCGACTGTCTGTGTGGAGTTTGCACATTCTCCCCGTGTCTGCGTGGGTTTCCTCTGGGTGCTCCAGTTTCCTCCCACAATCCAAAGATGTGCAGGGTAGGTGGATTGGCCATGCTAACTTGCCTACAGGGATGTGTAGGTTAGGTGGATTAGCCATGGAAAATAAAGGGTTATAGGGAGTGGGTCTGGGTAGGATGCTCTTCACAGAGTTGGTGCAGACTCGATGGGCCCAATGGCCTGCTTCCACACTGCAGGGTTTCTATGATCTTGCTAACAGCTTCCATTTGTATGATATATTTAACATTAAAAACAATCCAATTTACTTTTCTTATATCTAGATCTCAGAAGGAGACTTCAGGAGAAATTATTAAGAACTTCACCAAAGCAATGGATTCTGAGAGAGGTCTTAGGGAGACAGGGTTTAAAGAGGGAATTCAAAAACGTATGGCCAGATTATCACTGCTTTTTAGGCATATCCAATAAGGGTTTTGTTTTCTGTGGATGCTGAGTTGTGTACAGACGCGATCTGGTACTTGCTCACAATCAAGTCAGAAAATCCAAGAATATATAGGCGACACCTCTTTCGTTCTGCTGTGTAAAGTGAACATTCTTGTTGACAGCTACTCAATGCCACAGCAGAAATGCAGTGTTAAAGCTTTGTTGAGACATTGGTTAAAAAGGGCTTGATGACCTTGTTATACATCATCTCCCAATCCAAGAACCAGAGGATTGTGCAAAAGCCTGACAATCTATAGTAAGATCCATGAATATCCTCACATTGTTTCATTCATTTACAGACAAACCCACCTGGTCAGAGAACTAAAAGTTCTTCAGTTTATACTATTTGAAAACTGTGGGAGGGGTTTTACAAATTTGAGATGATTCTTCTGGCTTCAGTTCTTATTGCTTAGTGCCTGCTTTCTAATTCCACAGATTCATGCTACATCCCTAGACTACTCTCACTGTTTGCACCTCTCTTCACCTCTCTCCCAACACAAATAAGATTCAAATTACCTCCACAATGAAGATTTTAGTCACCGCATTTGAATTGGAATTGAGTTTTGTTTGACACTACAACTCTGAACTCTTTGGGATATTTTCCAAAGTTAAACGTGCTACCTTTCAATGCAAGATGTTATATCCTTGACAAAAATAGAAGGTGCTGCAAAAGCTCTGGCAGCATCTGTGAAGAAAAGATCAGGGTTAACATTTTGACTCCGGTGACCTTCCCTCACTGGACCCGAAACATTAACTCTGAATTTTCTTCACAGAAGCTGCCAGACCTGCTGAGCTTTTCCAGCAACTTCAGTTTTTGTTTCTGATTTACAGCATCTACAGTTCTTTTGGTTTTTATGTTATGTCCTCGTCTTCATTACTCACAGTCAATATTCCCAGATCCTTGATAACAAGGTGTAGAGCTGGATGAACACAGCAGGCCAAGCAGCATCAGAGGAGCAGGAAAGCTGACGTTTCGGGCCTAGACCCTTCTTCAGAAATGGGGGAGGGGAAGGGGGTTCTGAAATAAATAGGGAGAGAGGGGGAGGCAGATAGAAGATGGATAGAGGAGAAGATAGGTGGAGAGGAGACAGACAGGTCAA